TCAAGTCACTCTTGGCCATGGTCTTTATCACATAGTTAGAAACCCTAACTATGGTGATGCCTGTTTTTATTTTATTTTATTTTATTTTTACTTTATTGCCTCTGATCTCCTTTACCTCCATGTATCTCTTTATCTGTTTCCACCCTCTCTCTACTCCCCCCTTCATCCCTCCATTCTGCCAGGGTCAAAAGGGCCAGAGAGGAAATAAAAATATGGTAGAACTGTCATATGGCCCCGGGCCCAGCACTCTGTGGATGAGGCCAGCATGGAAGTGTGTGGCCACGTTGCTGACTGATGTGTGTGGTCTTTACAAGACCAGCTCAAGCCCTCCTGGCGTTTTTCATGCTAGTGCTCGATTCAAACAACAACAGAAACTGGCCAGCCATTATAAAAAGCAGGCCAGCTGCATGCTCAGAGAGCCTGAGACCCCAGGGACCTAGATGTGTATCATACAAAGTCAGGGGGAACACAAGCAGCATGAAGCCCCCTGTTTGCCTCTTCCTTTCAGAAAGAATATAGAAAACAAGGGTTTGCCATAAGAAAAGAAACATCCTTTAATATTGTCTGGTGGAGGTGTTGACCGGGGTGATGGGGCTCGAAGTCAGTAATGAAAACAGAACCGAGCACTCTGGCTCCTCAAGTTCATGATGAAGTCAAAATGAAGACCCTGTGACCCCTCCAAGAATGGCTGAGACTTTCTTCCTTTTCAAACGTTTTATTTTTCCCCCTGTGGTTATCAGGACGCAGCCCAGCCAGGCCCTCGGCCCTCTCTCCTTTAGACTGTGATAGAGCTGGCTCCCACTTTAAACTGAAGCATGCTCAGTCATGTACTGTTCGGGGGGCAACTGGGGACAGAACACAAGAAAACAGAGAACTCTGATCTCTATGGAAAGTCACAGGTCCTAGGACAGCTCCGTATCACTGAGTAAAGCAAGGATGGCACCTGCCTTTGCCCGTGCAGTTCATTCAGCTTCACCACACAGCTGTATTGAAGGTTTAGCCAGGAAAAACGTGACAGGTCAGCTGATGCTGCCTGGACCCCCAGCAGGACTCCAGCCAAGAAAGTCAGTCGGCAGGGCAGCCTCGCTCAGCTGCCTGCTGCAGGAGGGCCTGTTTGTCCAGTTCTGCTGGGAGTGGGCTCGCTTGGCGCCCCACCCCTGACCCTGGTGCCTCTGGTTTTCCCCTGTCCAGGCCGTACCTCACCTGTATGCGCAGACAAGGGAAGATGGCTCAGCTGTGGGATGGCAGCCTGGATGTACCCTGGGCTCCCCACATCTTGCCCAAGCTACAGGGCAGTTTTCTGAGAGACAAGGTAACAGAGGGATCAGTGTACACTATGCTTTTAAGCTGCATGTCTCAAGTTCACTGCCACTTTGCTGTGTGGCTTTGGGCAGGTGGTTTGACTTCTCTGTGTGTCTGCCTCCTGTTTTATGTAACTGGGCCTAACATTGGGCCTCTCGGGGTCATGATTATAAAGCAATTCCAACAACACATACAAAAGTGGAGGTGATATAGAAACATTAGTCTTCCAATCCGTTTTTGAGTTTGTTATTATTATTTCTCTAGCTCCTAAGTTTCTCAACATTTGACTTTTTGGCCACCTTCTCACTCTGCAGGCTCTGTCCAGCTTGTCTTATTCTGTTCATCCATCTAAATCCCTCCAGTCTCAGCCTTTCTCTGACTTTCAGAATTTATTTGTCTGTCTGTGCCTCAGTTTCCTTATTTGTAAGATGAAGTCCGCAGGCCTCTCTACTCCACAAAATCATCAAGAGAGAAATAAATCAGAGGTTGTGTCTCTGAGTCAGTAAATCCAAAGCACTTCAAAATCTAAGTTTTTAGAACACCAAAACGACACCTTCGGTCTGTGGATTCGGAGCCATGGAGCGAGTTAGGAAGCATGTGTAAAACTGTTGTGTGTCGGGCCTCATGCCCGTCATGTCAGCACTTAGGAAGCTGGGGCAGGGTTATCTGGAATTCAAGCCTGAGTTATAGAGCGACTCTGTTTCAGAAAAAGTTTAAGAGGGGGGTCCGTGATGGTTCACTGGGTCAAGATGCTTGCAGCTGATCTGAATTCTATTCCTTTGGCCCACATGGTAGAAGAAAAGAACTGATTCTGCAAGTTGTCCTCTGGCTTTAATAAGTGTGCAGTGCCGTGCATATGCCCACACACATGCACACAAACATACACACACCTACATACATAACAAAAAGAAATAAATGTGATCATTTTTAAAATATTTTACTTTTAGTTTTTGTTCGGTGTGTATCTATGTGTGGGTTTGTACGCATGAGTGCAGTACCCAAGGAAGCCAGAAGATGGCGCCAGAGCCCCTGGAGCTAGAGTTACAGGCATTTGTGGGCCGTCTGCTGGGAACCAAGCAGTACGTGACTGTGACTGCGGAGCCATCCCTCCCGTCTGAAAATGCTTGAGAAGCAGGTTGAGGAGAGGATGAGACGGCTCACTGGGTGAAGTGCTTGCCTTGCGAGCATGAGGACCTGAGTTCCGTTCCCAGGAAACGGATGGGGGCGGGGCAGCAGTGCGGTGGTGCTTGTGCTCTCGGCACCGGAGGCAGAGTCCTTGGGACTCCGCTTCACCGATCGGTGAGTTACAAGCCGTGAGAAGACCCTGTCTCAAAACAAAGATGGTTAACACCTGAGTAGAGTGATGGCTAAGGCCGACCTTTGGCTTCACACATGGATGGCTACCCATGAATGAGAGGGAGAACAGGCAACAGTCCTGATAACCCTGAAGGCAGAGCCAGACAGAGGAGTGCTCCCCAGACAGTAACAAATTCAAAAGTTAAGTAAATAATAGTAACCCATGACTACTGTCTGTTGCTCTTTTCCCCGCCTAGCAGTCTGCCTTTGTGCTCTCTGCTCCTATCTGTAGCTCTGTAGCCACTCATTTAACCCTTCCAAAGTGAAGGAGGAGCAGCAGCAAAACCAGGACATGGGGGTCTGCCCCAGCCTGGAGGAAAACAGGCATTAGGAGAATCCACACACAAACAAAAATGTGTATGAGTTGTCCCATGAGCTCCATAGAAAGACAACAAAAGGCATGGCATGATTCAAAAGAAGAACCCCTACCCAGAATCCCCCGGTGAGGCACTAGCATGTGGCTGCTATGTGTCCCTCTGGGTATGTGTTTCTGCTCTTCCTGTCTTCGGGTCTCCAAGATTCCACCTCTCTGAGCCTTTGCACTCTTCTGTGGTTTGGTGTCTCCGTCCCAGTCCTCCTGGTTCACATCTGTTCTTCCTTGTCTCTGCCCTTCTGAACTCCACACCTCAGACTGGATTCTTCCCATTGCAAGTGAGTGAGATCAGAACTGTTCCCATTCTCTGGGTCTGTTCCCACTAAGTGACTCTAGGTCAGCTCCCCCTGACCCAGTGAGAAAGGACAGAAAACCAGCACCCACCGCTTTGCTTTTTCCTTTAGCTAGCCTCCCTGTCCTCATCCGTACCTATGAGACCCAGATGCACCCAGCACTCCCACCTGAACCCCAGCACCTCCCGCTGGACCTCAGAATCTGCCCCCCCCATCACAGCATCTCTAATATGGACCACAGAAACTCCCTCTAGGCCATAGCATTTCCCACTTGACTCTCAGCATTTTCCTATTCACCATCATTGCTTCAATCCCTACCTCTGTCACGCTTCACCAAGGGCAATTTTATACAGCAAACAAACTCGTGTCACTTCTCTACCACTGCGCTTAAACGTACGACTAAACCCCTTAACCTTGCTATTTAAGCCATTGCTGCTTGTGTGCCTTGTTTCCCATGGGAACATCATCCACTGACATACCAAGATCTCTTCTGCCCGGTCCTCGCTTGGCTGGTCCCCACTCTTCCTTATAGTCATCTGGCTCAGACTCTACCAACTACCAATTAGTTAGTGATCCCTCGAGGTCTTCTTTATCGTACCTCTTCCCACCATCGCTGGGACAAGAGTCCCAGGAACACGGAGACATCTTCATTCTTCCTGGTCCCTGGCCTGGTGTAGAGTTGCAAGCATGACGGCCGTGGGGTTGCTCTTCACTAAGGAATGCCTCTGTCTCACTCAGGTCTCCAGGAGCCTCTGCAGGCGGACACCTGCAGAGGGAGGCTCTGCTTGCAGGGTCATCCGAATTCAGGCTGGGCATGGAGTGCCGATTACCCTGATCCTACGCATGGAAAAATGGAGGATGGAGGGGTGGGTCATGAGTAAGGTTTCCAAGGCTGGATTTGATGCAGGGGTTTTGTTTTTAGAGGACACACAGGAAGGAACTAGTAAAAAGGGAGAATATGTGAGTGCTGTGGGAGAAATTTTATTTAGTGAATAAGAGGAGAAGCATGAGACACAGGAGGAATGAATTAAACTACATGAGGGAGGGAAGGGGGGTGGAGAGAAAGTGGCAAGAGAGGCTGGGGTCTGGGCCCCACTCCCTCCCTGTGCCCCACACTCCACCTGGCATGGAGGCAGCCTGAGGGCTTTGAGTCTGCAGCACCTGAGATGTGGAATGTGTCCCCTGGGGGGCAGGCCAGCCCCAGCTGAGGCGGCTTATAAACCCTGTGGGGCCTCTGTGAGTAGCAGTTCAGCTCAGTTCAGCCACAGAATCCAAGCCCAGAGGCAGCAGGTGAGGAGCTCTCTGCTCTTACTCTCACACTCTCTGCTTAGAAGCATCTTTGCTGTCTACCCCAAACCTCTGATTCTGGTCTCTGCCTCTAAGGCTGCTCCAACCAAATGGATCTCTTGAATGTCCTGTCTGGGTCTTTCATCTGTGCTAAGTGGAGAGCTATTCCTCCATCTCTCCGTTTCCCACCTCTCCCTGTTCTTAGATATTTAGATGCTTTCTCCTCCTCCTCCTCCTTTTTTCTTCCTTCCCCCTCCCTCTGTCTCTGTCTCTCTCTCTCTCTCTGTGCCCCGTCACATCCCACAAAAGAAAAAGGGAAGGAGTATGGGGAGACGGGAAGAGCAGGACTGCCATCCCAGATTCACTCATCTTCATTTCCAGGAGCCAACATGAGCATCACTGCACGAACCCCCTGGGGCTGGTTCCTGGGGTACCTCATCCTTGGGGTCACAGGTATCTGAGTGTGTGTGTCACGGTGTGTGCCTGAGGGAAGAGTGTCAGCCAACACCCAGGCTGGACTCGGTGTCCTACTGCTTCATTCAGCAGTATGATGTGACTAGTGGCAGTGGGACAGGTGTGTGGTCATGACTGTAAAGGGTGGTGGGTGGTGAGAATGAGGGAGTTTGTGACACTAAGGGGAAGATGAGATCTGTGCCTAGTTCTTGGGTGACTAGATGATTGCCTTCCTTCTTTCCTTCCTTCCTTCCTTCCTTCCTTCCTTCCTTCCTTTCATTTTCTTTCTTTCTTTCTTTCTTTCTTCCTTTCTTCCTTTCTTCCTTTCTTCCTTCCTTTCTTTCTCTTAAACTCACTATGCACACCAAGCTGGCCTCAAATTTACAGAAGTCTGCCTCTCTCCTGAGTTCTGGAGTTTGATACCTGGCCCATTTATTCATTTTTAAAAGGGTCTTATGTAGTCCAGGCTGTCCTTGAATTCACTCAGCAGCCAAGAACAACCTTGAACTTCTGATCTTTCTGCCTCCACCTCCCAAGTGCTGAGATTTCAGTGTGCACCACATGCCCAAGGAAGGCTTTGTATAAACAAAGTGTGCACTCTTGTTTGTACAGCTGAGCTCCCAGCCCCCTCTGAGAAATGATGTTGTCTGGGTGAATGGACTGTGGCTGGGTGTAATTGTGATGAGACTGGGTTGTGCCACAAAGCTGAACAGCTCCCTGTGTGGCTGGCTATATGTCTCCTCTCATCTGGGCCAGTTGAAAGAAGGGGCTTTGTGTGTATGAGTGAGAGAGAGAGAGAGAGAGTGTGGTTCCTGGGTCCTGAAGACCAGCCTGAGACTCCAACCTGACCCACCTCCTGACAAATGACCCTACATCTGGTATGCTGATCCCAGCTCTCAGAGCTAAGGCTCTCCCTGGGCCTTAACTCCTCTGGCCCTGACTCCATCCTGAAGTTCCCAGTCCACTCCAGGTACCATATGTACAGAATCACCATTCAGCCCTGGCTTTGACAGCCCCACACAGTGATTCTCCTCCCTCTGACCTTGAGTTTTTGACTGCTGAAGCTCTATCAACACTCCTGTTCTCAGACTCTGACCCCCAAGAACCCTGGTCCAACCTCTTTAGCCTGTCCCCAGCCATACCCACATCCCTGAAATAAGACCCTGTCCCCAGAATTGCCCAGCTTCCCTGGTGAACCCTGATCCTTCCCAGGAGGCAAAGACCTTGGTCCCTACATTGACCCCCTACCCGCAGGAGTCCAGACACTTGTCCTTAAAGCACTTTCTTTCCCCTTTGCCATGACTCCTCCCCCAGGACATTCCCAAGCCCCAGCCACATTCCTGCTCTCAAACCCCACCCTGGTCCAGGGACCTCATTCCGTCTCCAGCCCTGGCACCACCCCTGAAGCCCTGACCAAGCCCCTACACTAAATCTTAGCGCGCACGCGTGCACACACACACACACACACACCTAAAGCTGGGTCCTGAACCTGTTCCCAGCAATGACCCAGACCCTAAAATCCTGATTCCACCCCAAACTCCTAACTAAGTGCTTACAGTGTTATGCTACCCTTTGGATACCTAATCCTACCTCTTGAACATCCCTTGGCATGGCCTCTCCCTGAGGTTCTACACACACACACACACACACACACACACACACACACACACACTGCAACCTCTGATCACATCCCTTCACTCAGACATCACCCACAATAGCTCTGAGCTCTCACCCTGACCCTGCTCCCAACTCTGCTCTGAACCCTGCTCTCATCCCAGAAGCCATGAAATGCCCCTGCTCCACACGCCATACCTCCCAATCCTGACTCCACCCCCAGGATCCTGGGCCTCGAGTGCCAGCGGCCGCATCATACAGGGCCAGGACTGCCGCCCACACTCGCAACCCTGGCAGGCCGCGCTGTTCTCAGAAGACGATTATTTTTTCTGCTCGGGCGTCCTAGTGCATCCGCGATGGGTGCTGTCAGCAGCACACTGCTTACAAGAGTGAGTGGGGCGTTGCCAGCAGGGGGTGCTCGAGTGGCCACGTGACATGTTAGGGGAGCCCAACCTAGCTGGACCAGGACAGTCTAATGGGAAGCAAAAGGCAAAGCGGGAGGTCACTGATGCTTTCGGGTGGAGGATGAAATGGAAGACAGGGTGCCACTGTGTAGCTCACGTGTTGTCTGACCCTCAGCTCCTACACCGTGGGACTGGGCCTTCACAACCTGGAAAGCTCCCAAGAGCCTGGCAGCCGGATGTTAGAGGCCCACCTCTCCATCCAGCACCCGAACTACAACGACCCTCCTTTTGCCAACGATCTCATGCTCATCAAGCTGAACGAATCGGTGATGGAGTCTAACACCATCAGGCGCATCCCTGTGGCTTCCCAGTGCCCCAACCCTGGGGATACCTGCCTAGTCTCCGGCTGGGGTCGACTCAAGAACGGTGAGTTTCCAGAAACACGGTTGCCCTCTCTGAGAAGTTCCCTACGCAGCCGAACGGGGATGACCCTCCACTGTGTGTCCCAGGGAAACTGCCCAGCCTGCTGCAGTGCGTGAACCTCTCCGTGGTGTCGGAGGAGACTTGCCGGCTGACGTATGACCCTGTGTATGACCACCTCAGCATGTTCTGCGCTGGAGGAGGGCCGGACCATAAGGACTCGTGCAATGTGAGATACGCGGGTGGGGGTGGGGCGGAACAGAGGCCGGGCATGGAGATGCAGAAGGTGCGCGTGAGACTCACTGAGATGCGCCGTGAGAAGTGGGGGAGCCAGGTGTGGTAGCCCACCTTCAGCGCCAGCAGGGGAGGCCAAAGCCAATGATCTCTGTGCATTCAAGGCCGCCAGATATACAGAGAACAAGGCCTGTATTCTGCATATACAGAATACAAGGCCTGAAGAAGGGGAAGGGGGAGAGGAGAAGAGGGGAGTAGAGAGGAACAAGGAGGCAGAGACATGGAGACCCAGGAGCCAGACATGGTGGTTTAAACCTATAATCCCAGCCACTCAGGAAGCTGAGAAGGAAAACCCAGTCTGGGCAACTTAGTGAGATTGTGTCTCACTAAATAAAACGTGAAAAGAAGCTAGGAATATAGACTAGTGCAAAACACCTGCCTAAAATCCCCCAGTGAGGAGCTGGGGGTGTGGCTCAGTGGTACAGCACATCAGTAAAGGCATTGGGTTTGTTTTCAGAACTGAGAGAGAGAGAGAGAGAGAGAGAAAGAGAGAGAGAACACTAAATAGACCTAAAAAGAAACAGAAGTAACCATCTGAGAAAACCTAAGAGTGAAGAGGGCACAGACCTATGCAGAACACAGAGAAGGACAGGAGATAAGCAAGCCCTGAAGGAGACAGACAAACAGGGCCAGCTCGAAGCCCCGGGGAAGCAGCCAGTTGTGTGGACACAGGGCTCCTGCTCGGGTGGCTTAGGGGCTCTGGCAAGGACATGCGGCTGGTTTCCTTCTGTCTACCATGTCCTGTGGGTGCTCTGGGACCTCATGTGGACCTTCAGCTCATCCTCTCCTGGATTCTGCCTCTCTCTCTCAGGGGGATTCTGGGGGTCCCATAGTGTGCAACAGATCCCTGCAAGGGCTCGTGTCCTTGGGACAAGGAGAGTGCGGGCAGCCTGGCATACCAAGTGTCTACACCAATCTCTGCAAGTTCACTACCTGGATCCAGACCACCATTCTGACAAGATAGCTACGGACTGCCCACACCGCCATGAAGCCTGCTGAAGGAACCAGAGACTCAGGATTGCTCCTAGCCTCCTCCTTCAGACCTGCAAGTCCAGGCAATTTCCTCCCTCAGACTCAAGGATCCAGATCACAAGGATCCAGACCTTCTCCCTCACACAGGGATCCAGACACGACCTCCTCCCTCAGACACAGG